TTTAGTGGGTAGTTTCTGCGGCATATTGTCGCGGAGGAGTCCCACACACGCCCCGGGGCCGGCCCCGGGGTACGGTGCGTAAATGCATTTTCCCAAAAAAAAACCCGAAAAAAAAAAAAAAAAAAAAAAAAAAAAAAAATTGATGCAAAGCGAGGATCGTCATCGAACATCGCGAAGAACTTCGGTGACGATCGAGTTGTGAATTCGCAAACTGTCACAATGAGGATTATTAAATTAATCGCATGTAGATTCAAGTAGTTGGAGAAGAGAGTAGGGCTATAGCGAGAAGCTGAAGACAGTGGCAAAACGAATGGAGCGATTGCGCAGAATTGATAAGCAAAACTCGCCAATAAGAACGCAGCGGAGCAAAAGACAAAAGGTTAAAGAAAGAAAATTTACATGAAATATATATATATATATAATGATAATACCATGCGCATAAACGAAGTAATAGTAATTAATTAATCGATAATCATAGCGAACGCGGCGACGTGCCGCGCGTCATTATAGTTAAGTATACGGGAAAAAGAGAAACGAGAAATACTATCGCACAATAGTGAGAAAGAGAGAAAAACGCTATTAGAAACACTATATTCATATATGGAGGAAAGAGAGAGAGAAAAAGAGAGAAGGAGTACAGGCTGCCGATAACATATTTCGAGGGAGATAACATAATTAATCATAAGCGAAAGCAAGGAGATGGAGCTTGTGAAGGGTGTTCACCCATCTTTTTTCAACCGATACCGATACCTCGAAGTCGGAACTAAAGTCAGTGCCAGCCTTGGAACGCGATAAAAAAAAACATTCCCATATATATCTTGCTTTTCCTCTCGCGAGACGATATTTTGTCAATTTCGTGCTCCGAAATATGGCATATAGATAAAGATTGCCGACAGGAATAACTTTCGCATTTGGCATAACAATTGCTTCGTTACTCGCTACATATATAATCCTCTTTTTGTCTTCCTTTTTTTTCGATATTAATTCCGGCGGGATCTATCATGATTGAAAAACCTGAGACAGCGACCGACGATAGAGAGAGAGAGAGAGAAGATCGACTCTCCCGCGATTACGAATAATTTCGCCGTAATTAGTTCTCATTCTATTTTTTTTTAGTTTAATCGCTACCACTATTCTATCTGTAGATGAAAAAGTTCTATATGATTGCTGCTACTACTACTATTACTAGTGCTACTAGCTACTATATATTTTTGTGTGTTCGACGATTTCTTTGATTTTCTGATTTTCGCGCAACAAAGTTTTAAAAGAAGCGCGAAACCGTTATTTCCTTAAATTTATTCAGCAATATTCCCTTTTTCGGATTAATTATCCTTTAAGCGTGCACTGTGCGAAGTGATTTTCAATTGACTAAAATACTCGGAATGATCATTGAAATTTTAAATTGTAGTGAAACACTTGTAATAAATCATTGAATAATTTAGGACAACATAATTATCTTATCAATTTTATTATTAATTTTTTTGTGCTTTAAAATAGTTTGTAAAAAATTTCTAAAATATTCGTGAATATATAAGAAACGAATGAGAGAAAAAGGGAAAGAATAGAGAAGAGAGGAAGGGAATATTTCCCTCCTTCTCCCCCCAAACGAGAAAGACGCGTTTCTTTTAAAGAGCATCTTTTCCGCATAAATTCGCAAAAATTTTGTGCGTCGTCGCGTTTTCAGCTGTTTGTCGCATTTGACACTGTTTCGTTGATATTTTTTTTCTTTTCACATACATGTAAAATCTTTTTGATTTTTCTTCAGTCTACTTCACGTTCGATTGCCTTTTCCGAATCGCCAAATTCGTATAGTATCCATTTATCACAGACGCATGTCATCAATATACACGCATACAAGTAAACGCAACATTATATACATGGCGCATAAAACTTTTCGATCGAAGGGAAAAAAAAGATGTAGTGTTTTTAGTGGATAAAGTTTATACTGCATACTATATATTCTATATGGATAATCCTTATTAAGTACACAATACAAATGCATAGGAAGTAAAAAAAAAACGTATGTAGACGTATCATAAGCAGAGAAAAATATATATAGCGAGCGGTTCTCCTCCAGATGCAAAATTCAACTTACTTTCTATTACGTCTATATAATAAAAAGACATAATTATTCTCGCTAAATTACTCTCGAGATACCAGCTGATTGTCAGTCATTTCAAAGAGTCATGTCTTACCACAAATTTCAAATTTCCATCATCACTCATTCCAAAAAGTTAAAAGCATTCTTTTGCATTAGTATCATATCTATCGAGATTATCTCAAAATTTCATTCTTCCGATAAAGCAAATTTTATTTGTGCTATATATTTTATAAAAATTAGTTGATAAAGATTGATTTAATAATAAAAAAGTTGCGCAACGAGAGTCTGACAAAAAAATTAAAGTCGTGTTGAAATTTTTGACTCGGGACTTTTTAGTCGAGGAAAAATTCTTTTTCAGAACTCAAGGAATGCATGAATATACGCGGAAATCGTTCTTTTCGGAATCCAAGGATACCATTTCTGGAGGATGAGCAGTCGCTAAAGTGTTTTCGAATTATGAATTTAGTAGGCACACACAGTGAGGAATTGCCCTGTATTACTGATAGCAAAGAGAAAGACGTCGAAGCGAGAATCACAAAACACGCACGTATATATGTGTACACAGGACGAGGGTGAAGCGGAATTCGACTTATATATTTCGCGATATAAAAGTGTGTTTCTTTCCGCGGACATATCCGTCGATCACGCGTGTCATGCAAGCATCTAAACTGATGAAGAAAGAAAGAATAAGCTTTTTGTTGAAGATAATGAGAGGACGTTGTATGTTTAAATATCCGGTTTTTTTGTTTAATATTTTTAACAAAGAGATTTCTGCTTCCTCTTCCTGAGTTTGGATGTACGCAGGCTCATTATGCGAATCGCATATATACACACGATATCGAAAAAGAGAAAATATAAGAACGACCGATTCTCTCTACCTGTAATAAGTATTTAAAGATTTATTAACGAGCCAGATTTTTTTCTTACCATAGAAAAATTTATATTATATACATCGAGATATATATATATAGATAAAATACGTATATATATATCTACTTCATATGCTATAATATATTTTTTTTCAGTTTTTTTTTTTTGCTTTAGCTATACAATACGTAACAGAGATAATAGAGTATATGAGAGATTTAGAGCATGTATGTATGTGAATATATATATGTGTGTGTGTGCGTGTATGTATGCTGAGAGAGAAAATGAGAGAAAAGGAGTTACGGAAACCGGATGGCATTAAAACGTATCTATTACATGTTAATTAATTACAATTAATTTGCAGTCCGCAAAACCAAGTCTTTCTACGCACCACTTAGTTTTCATTACGATCGAATATCTCACGCAAATCCTACATACATGTTATATACAAATCATATATGTGCAATAGTTGTTACAATAGATCAACAGGGAAAATTAGAAAAGCACCGGCGTCGCGACGCCAGGCGTCGCGATGCGCCTACAAGCAAACTACCTCGCAAACTCTGCAGCTAATAAACGAGCTAATAAGTTATCTGGCATGGTATGACGCAGAATTTTGCTGGATGACAAAGCGAGATTTATTTTTTAACAGAGCTAAGATTCGATGTAAGGATAAAAAATGTTACAGCGATGTCCAACGTTAATTGAAATCGTAAATGTAATTAATCGATGTAATTCCATAAGTTATTCACAAAAACCTCGCACATATTTTTATGTAAACTTTTAATATTTTTATTATATAGTAATTCTTTATATATATTACCGTTAAAAAAATTTTTTCCTCCTATTAAGAATCTTTCTCTAAAGATAAATTTTGTTTAAGAATCGATAACATCAATAAAGTGGCGGAGAAAGTTGATTAGTAATTATTCGACTCATAATTATCCTCGAGAGTCGACGAGATTCTGCGCTTATCATCGCCGAGCAGATTTTATCAATACGTGATTTGTGAAACGGGACGAACACGCGCGACGATTATGTCTATAACGCAGGCAGAAACCAACCCCCTCTCCTCCTCCAAGCATCATCCCTTCGTACAATAGAGAATATATGTAACGCGAATGTACCAATGACGATAAATGAGATAATAGATTATTGCGTTCGCGCGCATGCTCTGTCGGGGAGGGACAGGGTATCCACTCGGGAACTCGATGCAACTTCTCCTTTTTTCCCGGCATCGACATCCTGCGGATGCTCTCCATCGCGAATGTATATAATATGGGATCGTCGAAAAAAAAAATTGCGGATCTTCTCGAGAATCTTCGACATTCTCGATCACCGGAATTTATTCGCGCGAAAAATATTTCAGAGATCGAACGCTGTGTCCCCTGAAGAAATTAAAAAGAAAGTACAAGGGATTTAAACATCCTTTAATCAATGCTAATTAAAATAAAAAGAGACATCACTGCCAAATATTTTGCACTTATTTCGGGCGCAGCGATTTCGATTCTTCGGAAATCTATTTGCACAATTCTTTAACGAGATGAATTTTTTTTTTTCTTTAAAAAGGAAAGGATAACTAGAAACCCTTTTTCTTAGTGAAAGGAGAGAACGACGATTTTGTTTCTTCATCTCTGAAGAAAAAGGGTCTATTGATATTCTAGATTTTTTGCAGAGAAAAATACACAGAGAGAAAAAGAGTGTAATATTGCTGATAACTCGCGATTCATGAGAATGAAGGAGAGTATCGAAAATCCGTAATGACGATCGTCCGAACCGACAATCTGTTATATTTCGCTGTTTACCGATTCGCTTCGGAATTCCGGGTTTGCGACGAATTGCGAAATGCAGTCTTCTTCGTGGCGACGATGAAAATAACGATGTCCCGAAATTCCGGACTTCTTGAAGTTTTAGCGCTCTCCCGGAACCCCGTCGAGCTTTCGGCTCACAGCGATTTGTTATTTACACCGAAATCTGTTAGTTTTTTGTTCTTACATATTAGTGTGTTGAAATGGAGAACGGGAATGGTACGCGCTGCAGTTGCATTGTTCTTTTTATCTCATTTTTTATGGAAAGGAAAAAAGAAGAAAAACGATAGTGTTAAAAAAGCGTCGACGATATTTCATAACTGGAGAAACAAAAAGAGGAGAGAGAGAGAGAGAGAGAGAGATTCGGCGAGCACGAATGTTACGCACGTCTTTTTCTTTTTGTAAAGTTTTGTAACGCGTTTGTGAGAACCTCGATCGATCCTGTATTTATATAAATATCTAATCTGTGACGCGGATATTTCTCGAAAATTCAGAGGGAGTCGAAGTACAGAGGGAACACTATGTTTATCCATCTGTACTTATCGAAATTGCACAGCACGAACGTTGTACCACGTCGGGCTGAGAGAAATGTGACACTATTATATATTCTAATGATGAAATTAATCACACTCGGTATATTTACAACAACTAAAATAATCATCTGTTAATGGCCTTGCAGATTTTGCAATTAAAGGATGTAAATAGATGTCTCGTCGACTCTATTGTGTGTGATTGCTCCATAATTGATACCAACGGGATCGAGAAACGAGGCGAAACATTGCGCGCGGAATATTGATGAAAGAGAACAATTCCTCACATAAGCAAAAAAAAAAGAAAAAAAAATTGTGGTTATCGTAAGAATAATAGAGAAAGAGAGAGAGAGTGAGAATGAGAGTATGTAAGGGATGAACGAGATAACGGGCATACGCAGGTGAATCAAGTTTAATCGCAAATCATTAACTCTGTGTAACTCTAATAAAAAAAAAATCTATTTGAATGTAAGCGCGTTAAAAAAATGCTATTAAGGAGAACAGTATATATAAATATATATATATGTATATGATAAAGCAACCGGCGGGTCAGATAAAAGAAAGCAGATGATTTCGCGAGTAGAGAGAGATTTTTATCCTCTTTACTTGTTCCTTTATTTGTTTATTTGTTCGTGAGATAAGTAACCTCTATTTAGACGCTAGAAACGATGGGAGACATTCGAGCAAAACAACCGAGCGAAGAAAAGGTTTTAAAACCTATAGATAACATTGTAATAATTTTAGATACACAATACTGACAATGAGTGAAAGAGATTTTGATTTTCGAGAAAAAACTTTCAATTTTTTCAAGGATCTTCAATATGAGATAAAGATTTTTTATAGCAACAAATGATCAATTTTATACAAAAATTCTTAAACTTTTGAAATATTTTGGATAATAGAAATCGTAGTATATTTTACAAAGATATTATAAAATATAAGAAATATATTTCGAGCAATTTATACAAACCGTTATTAGATACAAACCGTGTGTACTTTCCTCGTGTTAAGAATCGCGGTCGAAAAATCTCTCGAAACTCGCATCGTTCGGCTCTCGATCGGGTATTTTTGTTTTCTTCTTCCAGCTACCGCTTGCTATCAGTAATTTTAATTGTCCGAGAATGTTTACACACGAACAAGAATGTAGCGACGCGCAATTCGGCAGATACCGAGATATAATGCGGGAGAAAGAGAGCCTCGAAATCTTCCCGTCACGAAATGCTCCTCTCGAGATATATTCCCATCCGAAAATCTTTCCATCCGCCAACACGGCACGCGCACACAAACGCACGTATACAAACTACACATGCGCTGTAGCTCCTTTATACAAAGTATAAAGACTTCTTCGCACAGAAATCCCTATGTATTTTTCGAAAATTCTAATTTTCCCCCTTTCAATTCACGCAACAAAATTCACGGCACGCCGCACACAATTCATATATTCACAACCATTTTTCTCGAAATCATTTTTCCCCCACTTCGCGCCGACAATTGGATGATCGTATTTTCGGATACACATAGCGAGCAGTTTGTTTCTTTCGGGAACATATTCACGAGGACAAGGAAGTAATAAGAAATCGATGTGTACTGAGTTTATGTGTAACGTTCAATTGAGGATTGTATGTAATTGTATATATATAAGTACAATGCAGTTCGTGAGTTAAGATACATTCTCCTTTTTCTACCATGAGAAAAATAAATTATTCTAGTTAATAAAAAAGGAGATTCGTATTTTCGTATCGTTCCCTCCACAGCATTTCCGTTGTAAATGTTAATTACGCGAGCGATTTCGATTATGTTAATAATCGATTTATTTCATTTATTTCTTTGAACATAATATTTATAGATTAATTTTTTATGATTTATAGAAAAAGAGCTTTTACAAGTATGCTGATAAAAATTTCCTTTTTTTTTTTTATTCTTCGATTTTTATCTCTTAATATTCCTCTCACTCATGATAGATATTTAAATCTCTTCTTCTTAGAAATAGCAGAATATTGCACATTTTTTTATAACACAAGACAAAAAATTTTATAATATTTTTTCGTCGATTTTTTCTCTTCATCGTAACAATTTTTATCGCAAATTCTTAAATGCATAGAGTAATTGCATTAATCAAACACTTTCTGTATAAATTTGTTCTCAGAAAAAAATTTGAAAACATATCTCAGCCTTAAAAGAATTTATTCCAAATTAAATACCACGAAAAGTAATTTTTCGGAAACAATGTCAATTACTGATCGGCAATTAAATAATTTTTTGATCGTTCCGGGATAAAAAATGAACACAAAACATGGCATCGATGAAAATAATGCCGGTTGAATTTTCGCTCGAGATATGACATAACGAGGATAGAATAAATTTTCAATCAAATCAAGAGTAATTACACGAATATGGATTTCCGATCACTTTAATACATATTACATCCAGTTTAACGACGCGTATATTAAAGAGATGGAGATACCAGATGAGATATGAGTTATTTGCATCTAAAATAGAGAGGGAGCGTTATACATATTGTATATATACATTCGTATCTAATAAAAGATGCATAAATATTACATTGCGCAAAGCCCGCAATTATATATAACGTCACATACACAGATAAGCAATCGTGGCAAGTTGACATTCAAACTCGATAATACGTGAATTGATGTTTAGATCGAGCGAGGCTGTCCTTGCGTTTATCATTTTATCGACAGTATTTCTCTGTTCTGTCTATTGTCGTATACATATTTTACCAGCTCGAATATAACTTATTCGATATTAGGCTATAGATTTCAACGAGAATTGCCTCTTTGTTGCTTATTTTACTTTGTTAATTTTTCATTTATAATTATCAAGCTTTGAATCTAAAATATTCTAAACGTAATTAACTTCGATTTTAATAAATGATTGTTCCTTTCTAGAGATAATATTAACTATAAATATAAATTAAAACACACATATATATTAATTATAATTAACTAAAATTATTATCTCAGAAAGGAGCAAAAAATTTACAATCGGACTAGATTCAATATCTTAATCTAAACGATGGCATAAAATGTCATTCTGCGATTTCTGAAAGTCGCAGACACATTTGTCCTTCTATATTAACAATACATAGACTGATGCAATAATAATGATGTCAAAAACAATAATTGCATATCGTTACATTTACATCGGCAATCTTGAATGGCTTCGATCGGAATTGCAATTGTATAATAATCAATACTATTATGCGATATCAAGGAATATCGAATTTGGAAACAATGTCAAGGGATTAAGTTTGATCTGTTTTCCCTGGATGCTTTGACATTAATTATTTTTTAAAAATAAATAATTCGAGTAGTTTTTTTTTTAAATAAAATAAATATGATTTTTTTAACGTGTAAATGCATGTTTTTTCTGCTTCTGTCAATCTTAAAGTACGCAAAAAGTGCTATTTTAAAGATCTGTGCATTTTCGATAATAAAACAATAACTGAATAGATTAAAACACTCGTATGATTAAAACAATTCGTGTAATTATCTTCGATGTAGTCAAAACGGTTGATAAAATGTCATAGCCTTTAATCATCTCCGAGAAAAATTTACTTGGGATCGACGGTCTTTTTGATGGTCTTTTTGATCTTTCGTCGATAAATAAAGAATACACTCGAGATAATAATCGTCAAATACTAATTAAGCAGGCCTAAGAGCGCCGACCATATCGCCCAGTAGACGCTCCACGCTGACGTCACCGACTGTCGGTTTGAACAGCAGCTCGTGCAGGGTAACACGACAAAGAGCGCGTGCTGGGGGTAAGAGCAGCAACAATCGACCCACCCTGCGCGCATCCCTCTCGCAGAAAACCGCCACCGTTTGCTCCTGCAATGCCGATACTCGTCCCGGCTCGCAGAGGTTTCGTGATTCTATAAATGATAAAGAAGAACGTATTTTTTTTTAAGGGGTGCGTTGATAAAAAATATACATTAGGTTTCTTAAAATCAACTAAGCAAGTTGAATTGCTCAGTATCAAAATTTATATTGAAAAACATGATTGAAATATGAAAATTATAAAATCCGATATATTGCAATATTGAAGTTGAAAAATGAATATGTTTATGACAGGAAAAACATGCTTGAATTAAATGTTTGCGACTGCGAATATGAAATGACAATTACATTTGATTTTGACTCAACGATCTTCTATAATGTTCAAAACGGATAAAATGATTAATATAAAAATAATCTTGCATAATGTATTTTTTTTTCTCGAGCATTTAGATATAGAACATCCTACGTAAAATTTTGAAAGACAGAGATCAACGTTAATAAAATTAAAAATATCACAATCGACATGGTAATCTAAGTTACTCACCCGCCTTGAACAGGACTATGGCCTTTAAGCACGCGTACTCTGAATGATCCACCCTCAGCGCGGCGCATTTTGCTAGAAGTTCTCTCAGTCTCCTCGCTTTGTCGAGTAGAACTTCCCTTCGTTCCATCGGCAGATCCACAGGCACCAAGATGCTCTCGTCCACGGGAAAGCTCCACTGTGCTGCCGTCAGTACAAATAATTCGCTCCACGACTCCTCCAGAAGAATAGTTTGGTCTCTATAAGGGAGCTTGCGAGAAAAGACGGTATAATTATTTTTTTTATTATCCACAAGTGTAAAAAGATTATGTAATATTTTTCGTGAATTACTTAATACGTTTTCTTTACAATTTTGTGTATTTTATATTTTATTTTAGAATTTATTTTATTTTCTTATATTATTTTATATCATATGTTTTGTAAAAGTTTTGTAAAATATCTTTGTAAAAGAAAAATGTGTTTAAGAATTTTGCTAAAAGAGAAGGGGTATTTGTGGAGCTTACTTGCAGAAAGGAATGTATACTTCTTGCCCATCTCACGGCGAAGAAAAGTAATTTTGCCGCAAATTCATAAATATTTTCGGTCGGCAGGAGTGATAAGCCTTGCATCATGTATTCCGATGAAACGGAAGTGATGACCGGCGGCGCCAGACGTGTATTTACTAATTCCTCTACGATAAATAAAAAATAATGTTACTTAGGTATGCTGATATGAGATTGCCACATATACACACACACACACACACACACACACACACACACCTTTTGATTCAATTCTAATGTCAACAGTTGCTGCTTCCTCGGAGCTAGTAACTTCATCCTCCTTGGCAGTAGTCATAGACAAAGATTCCGGAGATGGTCGTGGTAGGAAGTGTGCTGTTGATGCAACGTGATATTTTATTATAAAAAATATATGTCAATTCGATATGATTATATATTAATATTATTACTTACCGACTGACGGGGTGAATGTTGATACCGTAGGCTTGAAAGGGAACAATGCGGGATATAGAAGTGGATGATAAGTGGTACCCGCCGGATGATAGACATTAGAAATTCCCGTATAAAGTCCCGAAGGTGTCCTTCTCGCCGCTGTAACGAGAGAAGACGTGCTCCTCGGTGCTCTCTCGTGTTGCACGGCTAAAAGCGAGAAAGTATCATTAAAATTTCAATTAGCCATTAATCTTGAAAGTCCACATCGAAAGTCTATCAAATCGAATCGATATTGATAATATATTTTACATTTTTTATCCTATTGTTTTCGTAAAAAATATTATATAAAATACATAAAATATTTTATATAATATATAGTATATTAAAATATTATATTTTCAGAAGTATAAAAGTTCCCGGATCTTTTCAAACGATTTTAACAGGTTTTTAATGATTCTTAGCAATTTTTAAAAAAATTCTGGATTTGAACAGAGAATTATTTGAATGAAAACTCTCTGTAATCTTAGACTTTCTTGAAGTAAAATTTCCAAAAACAACTAACGATTCCAAATAATTGAAGGAGAAGCGCAATGTGGCCCTTTAACGGCAGCTCCCGCCTCTCCCTTCACTAATTGATATCTCAGCAATCAAGTGTTTGGATTATCGCTCGACGCGGTAAGGGGACCGGGAAGAAGGTGTTTACAAAAGCTGTGAACGCCAGGCTGCTTCTGACACCGCTTGCTATCGGATCCTGCCGTTCGGTAAGCAAAAATATAGAGTTTCATGTGGATGCGATGGGTGTGTGCGTTTGTGCGTGCGTGTGGACACGCTTCCCTTTTTCCAAACTGTTTCCCATCCGCCGAGCAAACGTCACTATGCATTGTAATACCCGACTCGCGACACTTCGCTCCCTCTCTCTCTCTCTCTCTTTCTCACTTTGTGTATTCTATTTTATACGGAGTGTGTCTGAAAGAACTTTCTGTTGCGTCAAAGAACATCTTTCGAATATCGCTACGTGCGTGTGGACACGCTTCCCTTTTTCCAAACTGTTTCCCATCCGCCGAGCAAACGTCACTATGCATTGTAATCCCCGACTCGCGACACTTCGCTCCCTCTCTCTCTCTCTCTCTCTCTCTCTCTCTTCCTCTCTCTCTCTTTCTCACTTTGTGTATTCTATTTTACGGAGTGTGTCTGAAAGAACTTTCTGTTGCGTCAAAGAACATCTTTCGAATATCGCTACAGAACGAAAGATTCATCCCGTATGTAATACACAGCATTGGCGGCCGATATCGAATAAATGTAATTACAGATAAATATTTAAATAAAAATAAAGATAGAAGCTCAAAACCCCGAAAATGTTAGAATGCATCGCGATTAAAAATGAAAAATATAATAAGTATTATGCACAGTAGTATATGATTTTAGCCACTATACTTTTCTGAGATAAATTCCGAAATCTGTTAATAACGGAGTCATACCATCTCGTTTCATGTTGACCTGAAGACATTTTGTGAAGCGACAAGCTTGGCATTGATTGCGCCGCGACACGTCCACGATGCAACGTCCGTTCTCTTTGCACACGTAGTCCAAATTCCTGCGCAAATAACTCTAATGTCAAATTTATACCCTAATATTTACGAATAATTTTACAAATAATGTAAAAATAATATTATATAATTTTTAAGAATTAACTATCTCTATTTTTATCATTTTCTCTGATTTTGAAATCGAGATATTAACAATAATCATTTAAGAAGTTATATATGTTATATTTTTTAATTAAAATAAAATATTATGTCAATCAAATAATAAATTAATAAAATAAATAAATAATTAAATATTTATATTAAGCAAAAAAAGACGAGAGCAAACGAAATTTAATTACAACGAAAATAAGTGATAGGAAAATTGAGAGACGCGCGGATCTGTAGGATAAGATCACTTTGATGTTTCGATTTAAGTTCGAACTTAGTTAAGCAAGAATTTAATTACCTCGCGTACCTGCGGATTGACCGCTTGAAGAAACCCCTGCATCCGTCACAGCTTGGTACGCCGTAATGTTTTCCGGAAGCTTTATCCCCGCAGACCTTACACAACGTTTCTCCACGTCCGTTTTCCTCCATATTTGACACCCTGTTTGCAATGAAAGTTTCGGTAAATCGCACGAAGGTAATTCAATACAAGTTAAATTTAAGTTTAATGGAACCAAGACACTTTATAAGACGCATGAAAAACAAAAGATATAGAACATTTCAACATCATAAAATTTCTATTTGAGCAAATAGACAAATAATGTTTTTCGCGCACGTTAAAACTATATACGTTTAATTATAAATTAAGATGAAAAATTGTAAAACATATTAAAACAGAAAGAAGATAATGACGTGACGTAAATAATCGTGCTTACTTACATGGTAGCCAAGATTCAGCCTCGAGAAATTATCTAAAATAAAAACAGCCATTTTTTTATTTCTACTCTTGTCATTTTCGAGTGTTTTTGGATCACGCATGAAAAACAAAAGATATAGAACATTTCAACATCATAAAATTTCTATTTGAGCAAATAGACAAATAATGTTTTTCGCGCACGTTAAAACTATATACGTTTAATTATAAATTAAGATGAAAAATTGTAAAACATATTAAAACAGAAAGAAGATAATGACGTGACGTAAATAATCGTGCTTACTTACATGGTAGTCAAGATTCAGCCTCGAGAATTATCTAAAATAAAAATAGCCATTTTTTTATTTCTACTCTTGTCATTTTCGACTGTTTTTGGATCTTTATTTTCTTCTCAAGTTGAAAAATTTAAAGAAATTCAGTTCTTAAGTTCGGATATGTCTACTTTTGCAAATAAAATAAATTTTAAAAAATTTCCTTTCATGAACCAAAAATAATAAATGTAAAGATTTAAAAATGCTTACTTTTTATTTTAGATAATTTTATCGAGACTAAACTTTGGCCATCATGTAAACACGCACGATTATTTAGAACGCCATTATTGTTCTTTGGCGATCTTTTATCTTAATCTTGTCATTAAATAGATATACGCGTTTCACTAAAAAAAAAAACATTATTTGTTTAAATAAAAATTTTATACGATGTTGAAAAGTATTCTGTTTACAATTCTCACTATACTTTCATAATCCCTTAAGTCTCAAGAAGGATTACCGAAGAGTAGAATCGATACGTTAGAATCGAAAAGTCATATCTCTCTAAATACGCGTCGGATATGCATAGTGTTGCATTTCAAGCTTTAAAGTGACGACGGTAATACAACACCGATCGAAGTGTAGGAAGTACTCGGACAAATTGCGCGATGAATCACCGACTCTGACGAGTTGCCTTTGGATTATGCATCGCGTTACGATGAGAAGTGCATTACGCGCGTGGGAATGCGCTAAAAGACGAGCAGCGTCTCTCCTCATTATTCGTGGGATTCGCATACAGAGCAGACTTCCTCGTCGCGGTGCTATAGCATCGCCCTTTGGAGGAGACTCACGGCGCACTTTGCATATTGCACGACGTAATACGATAGGTAGCCAGAGGATCGCTAAACATCGCTGTTCGATTTTGCGACGGCTTTATGCTCGCCGCGCAAATGATATCGAAGGACCGATTATTTCGCGCGATCGATCATGTCGCCGGTTGTCCATCCGCTATTTTAATGAGCCGTCTTTATATTATGGGTAATTGACACCTTGCTCAATTTAACGCTCGAGCGGCGAAATTTTTTCCTAACATATAATTTCTTATATTTTATTAAACGTCAATTGATAAGTATACGATGTTATTTTTGTGTGTTGTTATATATTTAAAATTGTGGGATTCGTGGATAATAACATTGATAAATTTTTTTTAAATAATCAATTTGATTTTCTATTAATTTGGATCTAATCGTAATTATTATTAAATAATCATTTAAAATGTTGAATGCTGATAATTACGTTTCTTCAGATATTTGTTTCAATTTTCAAACATTTTTATTAATGTTAAAATTAAAAGCTAAATATTTAATAATCAATACATATGTTTAAATACGTATATCAAAAATTAAAGATAGTCTATTATATTTATCAAAAAGTCATCTATGACTTTTTTCCACTAAAATCTTAAAATTAAATAGTAATAAATCTATCAGAGAACTAATTAATATTAAATTAACATTTAATAGATGTTGTATTATATGTACTTTTATCAATCTCAGAATCATTCAAGATCATCTTGATTGAATATCAGCAAAGCCATTAACACACAAGAATTGAAATATTAAGTGTCGTGTAAATTATAATAGAGCTATATTGAAAAATGGGAGAACAAAGAAACTTGAACACACTTCATTCTCTCCTTCATAACGTTACGGCCGAGAGATAATATATCAAAAGAAAGATGATGCGCGGAAAACGGATTAAAGAATGAAAAGCGAGGGCGATCGCGATACTCCTCTGTCCTATACCTCGACAGGGGCTTACGTTCATGGACGCGCCACAAATGGACGGCCGGGGAAGGGGAAAAAAAAAGGAACGGGTTGTCCTCGCGCGCACACGGCACGGTCACAAAGTCGAGGAGCCAGGAGGTCGCGTGTCCTCCGAGCGACCCCTCGACGAGGCGGCGTCGGCGCGCGTACCCTCTTTCTTTTCCGTGACTTTACGCCGTCCCCTACCGGCGAGGTGGCCCTCAGGGCTACCGCCCGTCGCCTCTGACTTCCCCGCAACCATCCTGGCCACCCGTCACGGACTCGATAGGCGCCCGAGCGGCCACCTGCCCGTTTCCCAGGCTCAATAATGCAGCGCGCCAGACGTGGAGGAGCATCGCCCACGATAAACCACCACCGCAACCGCCGCCGCCGGCTAGAGGAGTCCTTTACGGAGATGTTGCTACAATTTTGCCGCACCCTCGCGCACGAGACACATACACACACATCGGGACTATAAGTCTTCTCTTTCTTTCTGTTTGGCTGAGCAAAAAGGTGACTTCTTGATAGTCTCTCTCTCTTTCTCTCTTTCTTTTTCTCCCTGCCAAGCAAAACGAATCTCTCACGCAAACGCCTCTTTGCCTGTCATAACATTTTTATTATCCGATGACCGCCGTCTTCCGCGACAACAACTCACGATGGTCAATCTGACTCTCTCTCTCAATAGAGGAAAAATTTCTTACGAATGAGTGCCAATATATGAATGGTTTCATATGAAAAAAGTTTTCTTATTATGTAAATTTACATAATATTCTTCCTCGACGCCTACAGATTTGATTCAACTCTTCTTTAGAGATAAAATTCTTCTTTATAGGGATAAAATTATTTTTCACGGATAAAAATGCATATTTTTGTGGATTGGTATTAACACGATTCAATTAAATCTTTCTTTTCTACGATGTGTCCAGTGCTGTAATTTAGAAAGGGAGAAAAAATCGTCGTTCAAAGTCAGATAGAGTTGAGGCTCATAGAGCGATCGCGAACAATTATCGTGTCACAAGAAAAAAACAAAGAACAAAGGAAATTGGTTTTATCTTTTTTCTCTCTGTCTCTATGATATCACCTCGGCATATTGTAGCCATATACAGTGTGCAATTACACGGGGCGTATTATTTAACCTTGTTTGCACGAACGCGGGTGTCGTTCGCGCACGCATATAACATATGTCGCGTTGCAACCAAGACTCGTGTTGGGGGTGAGTCGAACAGTCAGATTTTCCACCCTTTCTAAAAGCATGTCCAAGCTTTGAACGAGATGAAAAAAAGAAGACATGAAATACAGAGAGTTATTTTTGAATAATATATTTTTTTAAATCAATTTATAAACATGTAATAGCTTTAAAGAAATTAGTTGATAGAATTTATAGAAAAAATATATTTAATCTTTTATAAAATTAAGTACCTCCTTCCCTATTCTATTTTATTTTTTATATTTTATTGTTTAATGTATATGGATTATATATAAATATTATCGATAAATTGCATATATAAATTGAAAATCTTGCCAAAACTTTTCGAGAAATATGAACAAACAATTCAATAAATATAGTCTCAGAGAGAAAAATTACATGTAAATATTAAATTGAAAATCTTACCAAACTCTCTCTCAAGAAATATGAATAATAAAATATTTATAAATGAAAAATAAATGCAGCTTCCCAGAGAGATACAAACAAGTAACGAGAGTATTGTATGTAGGTAAAAATATTTAATAATATTTTAGATTTAGACTTCAAATGTGTGATAGAGAGATACTTGAAACTGACTGTTGAAAAATAGCGTTAGAGGACGTTTCTTTATAAGTATCAATTATACTCTCGGGGAGACAATTTGGCCCATCGATCATGCAAAGCTCGACAAGCGCGGCGCAGTTTGCGCTCGCAAACACGCGTCTAATGTCGATTCGATGACTTTTCGATAGTTTTCGACGCGTCGCAAGATGTTGGCAGCACGCGGTGGGACACATGCAAATTTTTTTCCGCGTCACGTCACGTGCGTCCTTTCGCATAAAAAATGCTGATCGATTGTCGGCCGCGCGATACATTTATATATAACGAAAATAGCCTCGCGTAATTTTGGAGCGAACAAAACTCGTGAAATTCCTTGTCGTGGCATAACAAACCGATGATAAAAATTTAAAAAAAACCAAGAGAAGAAACTATATAGTCCAATAACGTAAATTAAATTTGAAAAGAATGTGAGGAATACTTGCTTAGATATAGAGAAATGTATGATAGTGCTGTCATCACACAAAATAATAATGATATTAATCTTAGCTTTCAATTTGTATATAAGATCTCTAAGTCTGGACAAGCAAACACATATTCTTTTTATATCATATATTCCTTTTATATCATCTTTTTATATCTGTATAGGGTATGAAAACTATGTCTAACATCGCGTGGATATAGAAGTATAGAGATGAGTGAGAACTTGCTATTGTTCATTGTTCTTGTTATAGTTCTCTTTCTTTATTGCTAAGAAAAAATTCTTGCCGTCACGTCGTCGAGAAATCAGAATTAACCGGTGTCGTTCCCCCCTCTCGATTAGTTTTTAATTTGATTAGCTCCCTACAATGCATGTCACGTTTTTTCGCGTAATCGACACACAATAAGGGTTCATTGAGAAAAAAAACACATGGTGTCAGAAATCCTCCGTTCCGCCGCCATGACGCGTGTCATGATGTTGCTGGGTAAGTCTCACCTGGATCTTTTCTACTAGATCTTTACATTAGTATCATAATAGTGATATACAAGCCCCATTTAACAAGCCTCAATTTAGTTGTTTATACATATTTTAATTTTTTATAATTTACATATATATATTTTATATTTTTATTTTTATACATACATATATATACGTAGAAAACCATAATTAATATTCAATTAACAAATTTTATATGGTTGTACAGACACTAACTGTGTTAACTATTAGCAACTGCTAATTTGATAATTTGTTAAATGTGATAGATACACTAATATTAATTAATTTTAATAATAATTTTAACCAATTGTTTTTTTTCAAATCAAATAAAGAAACTCTAAAATCGATCATTAATCTGCTAAAAATCTCAATATTTTTAAACATATTATTAGATGTATTAAGATTTATTTTCAATAAAAGTTTTCTTTGTTTCTTTTTGGGTTACTATTCATTAATTTGGATCGACAGAAAAATATTTAGGTAATTTGAAATTCTCTCTCATATAATTTATTATTTTTCCATACACACCGTGTGATATGTACATTGTCAATCTTCGTGAATAAAGGTTTGAAAACCAAGCTGTTCGAGGTTTCCCTTTTTCGTATATCTATGATGTATAGAACTATAGCGATTAATATTTGATGATTCGCTTCTACGTAAGCGTGGTCGTTACGTCGAGTCACCTGACGTGACTTTGTTGTACCTGAGGGTCGCAGTGCAATTAACGACTCGTAAATAATAATCGATCCTATATAAGAATGGCATACGCAGCATAGTAAGCCTCGTCTGTTGGGGATAATTAATTATAATAATTAGCAAGTACCAATACTTTGCGAATAAGAGACTAAACGTGAAAGAATGACACGCATAATCACGTGAAAAATTAAATAGTGAAGGGATTGCAAACATAACGATTTATATATTCTACTTTTAGCCGAGCATATTAGTATGAGATTTTATAGATATAATGAGTATAAACTTGATAATACAAAGTAATTCAGGTCGTAATCCGGTTAAAGACTTTAATGAAACCACTTACCACTTTCTTTTCTCGAGTAAAATGCAAATATTAACGTCGAATATGATGAGAAACTGTTTCTATTTTTTTTTTTTATTTAATAAACAGCGGTTTTAATAAATTAAATAATTGTAAGAAATTATTTCAAAAAAAAAAAAAAGATGTCCTTCTTTTATGATTCTTTATATCATTCTACGAGATTCAAAAGTACACATAAAATGCATAATTATCTTGCGATTGATGTTTTACGAGCAGGAGGTGCTTCAGATAATTTCTCCCAAACTGTATTTTGGATAATCGGAGATGTCAGGAGAATTCCGGCAATTACCAAAGTTAATGTGGGCTGTTTTTTCTTCATCCGATCCTAATTTACGATTAGCCGCGGCGCGATTAGTTCCACACAGCCGCACGCACGTGCACACTTCGCACGACTTGGCAGTGATTGCGTGACACGCTCGATTATATAGGATAAGTCGGGAAACACGTAGTACAACCGAAAAGAAGGTGAGATACCTCGCCCAAAAACAAGTCGAAAATGCAGAATAAAATATTTTTTGAACAAGATTTTACTTTCGACAAAATTGATTTTAAACTTTGGGAAAAAATTAATTTACGTTTTTATACATGTAATCTATATTTAAAAATATTCTTCTAAAATCAAGAATATATGAAAAGTTTTAATGTGTGCGACAACATATAATGGTCGCAACTGAAAGAGAAATGAAATAATATCGCGTGAGGTATATATTTGTACTTATATATTAATAACGTTCACGCACATGGCTGCGTTCAGATATGCGTTAAATAAAAGGCGAAGCGCTCTATATTTTGTAACGGTATGTAGCGAGCAGGAAAAGGTGTGAAATAATATCGCGTGCACTAGAGACTTACGTAATTTATATGTACATCTAATAGCGTCCGCGCATCGCTGCATCCAGAGGACTGGACGAGAAAATTCTCGACTCTCTCTTTCTCTCTGTTTTTCTCGCGTTAATGTTCGCCTTCTCCTGACATATGCGCCGACTTTGACGTAATGACAGGCATTGCGGCACGATAATTGCACGCGTGACCGCCGGAAAACGTCGGTTTTACAGGTGCGTGTACTCACGGGTGACCGCCACGTTAAGCAGCGTGACTGTAACACGTGTCGCCCGTTAATCGCACCATCGACCGACGAATATGCGCTGATTCCGCTCGAAAAAAAGTTACACTATTACGAACTATCGCCAGATTAAGCCAACAATATCCGCCCGAAACCGGACATACGTGTATTTCTTCATTTTTTCTTTCACGTATATTTTTTTCTTTAGTTTTTATTTAAATATATATGTGTATAGCTGTATATATGTTAATATTTTATTATTAACAAAATCATACTTACTTATGTAGTATCCCAGTTTTGTGCAAGGAATCTTTTTTTCTCTGTTAACTGCAACTTGTTAATCTTCGGTTGAGATCTGCGATCTTCATGAATCATCTGTATTATATATATGTATGTAGTGGAAAAGTAATCATTTTATTTGAAAAAATAAGTAAAAATGGAGAATGAATATTTCTTGCGCATGCAAGACATTGTTGCCAATAAAAATGATTTTAAGAATTGAAAAATTGATACAATACGCTTTTTTAAGCTTGAATAATTTCTAACAATCTTATATTATATATTATCATATTTATCTTGACAGTGATTATTAAAATATATATAAATTTATTATATATAAAGTATCTACATAAATTTTGTATCTCTTTGGATAAAATTAAAAAATAAAGGGATTACAAATATAACGATTTGTATATTCTATTTTTAGCCAAGCATATTATACGTATGAGATTTTATAGACATAATCAGTATAAACTTGATAATACAAAGTGATTCAACTCATAAACGTGGCAATAACGTGCATGATAATAATTAAGAATATTAATGAATTGTAATTGCAGATATACTAAAAAAATACGTAATAGTACGTGGATTTATTTCTACGATATATCACAAATTAATTTCCTCATTATGGCTTTAATAACATTAAAATGTGCTTGTAAACATATGCTTTAAAATCATGTTCACCAATTTTAGCTCGTTGAAAGAACAATCTAATCGTGGATGTTCTTCAAGGGGCAAAATTAATTTTATACATTATATTAAATGAAATCATCAATGAATTAATATTCATATACATTAATTATAATTTAATATTAATTATAACGTTACTTTATAGCTAAAAATTAAAAGACTATAAATAATGTGCAAACGTTTATTTCTTATGCAAATGACATTGATTGTTTTAATCGAAATATATCAATAAGGTACATGTATTATAAGCGCGTCTTTAAGAAATTGACTTTCAAGAAAATGTTCGGAACTACACCGACATTAGAATCGTATGTATGATTAACTAAATGTATGAAATAAGTTTGTGTGAGTAAGTAGTCTAAACTAAATTGAGACATAAATCACTTGTACGCGGTAAGAAAGTCGATGACAGGTGCACGTATAAATAAACATGTTATTTCACACTTTCGGTGTGATGTGCGACACCTAAACAACTGAAAATTGTGAAAAAAAGTATCGGTTTCAGTTTTTATCTGCGTACCGAGTTCGAGGTGTCGAGCGGTGCTCGCTCGACGCTCGACCGAGCCTTTTTAGGAATTAGAGATAAGATAACGCGAGAAGGATGCGAGAAGAGGATGCGAGAAAAGGAACGCCAATAAGACGCAGAATGTTTCGCGAGTCGACGAAATTCGAGTTTTCTATTGGATCGAGAATCGAAACGACTGTAATTATTGGTTCGAGGAGTCCGCGTGGAGTATTTAGCTCATCGTCAGAAGTCCGCGCGGATTATTTAGCGTAGGAAATTCGGGACGTCAGACGTCATTCCGAGATCGCGGAATGCAATAAATCTCCCAAGTTTCGATCTTTTAATTGAATTATGCGAATAGAACGATTATTTATCTATATGATTACTGGACATTATTTAGTGAAAAATCTATTGCTTAAACACAACAAGATTAATAATATGTTTGATTTATTACGAATATAATTTAATATAATCTTTAATAAAACTTTCTATACATTATAATATTATCGCTATAGATTTACATTTTGCTTTATGTAACCGAATTTTCGGACGCGTCGCTCTTATATTTACGTTCTGTTGTCTCATTGTCTATCCTTGTCTATTATTTACGTATCTCTCTCTTTCTTACATCAAATATTTTCGAAGTATCATTTTGCTTTATGTAACCGAATTTATCCGAACGCGTCGCGCTTATGTTTACATTCTGTCGTTTTGTTATCTATCCTTGCCTATTATTTATTTACGTTTCTCTCTCTTTCTTATATCAAATGTTCTCGAAACGTATTGTCTGTCTCACGTAGTCAGTCGACAACTAGTCGCGGTATAAATCGGACGTGTCGCGTTCTCTTGTGAAATATAATTAAATCATACGCGTCGTTTCTCTTGTGAAATAGTGCTTTATAATGCAATATTTTTCAAACCTATATACACTTCTATAAATTTTCCTACTCACAGATCGAACAAGGATCCTCTCCATTATATCAACTTTTTCTTTTTATCTGAACAGACATCGATCTATACTTCTGTGCGGATTAATTACTATATGTATATAATTTTCTCTTCAGTGTAATTTAAATTATACTAAATTGTTTATTATTCTCTAATTGCTCATTTAAAAAAATGGAACATTATACTTTTATATTTATCTATTAATAATTAAGAAGAATTTGATGATTTGTGTGTGTAATACAAGATTATTATTAAAACTTAAAAAAGCGTAATATTTTTAATTTTTTAAATTTTAATATCAATTTTCTTAAAAACAAAGCTTTATATGAAAGGATATTTTATTCTACATTTTCGACTTATTTTTCATATACAATAATAGAATCATTACCTCCCGCCAATTATATCACCAGTGATATCTTATAAAATATGTCAGTTTTCAAGAGTGCATTTTCTCCAGAGAATATAACAATGTATTTTCATCTGATTTAGAGGATTAATATAGAAATAATTGATATGTTTGGATGATATATATTAACGGATTAAAATATAAAATTAATTGATATATTGTCGTATCATAAATTAGCATCTCAAAAATATGTCTTTTTTATCTCAAAATCAGTAACGAGAGAGAATGTAGAATTTACATATTACTTATAAATCATACTATATAAAAAAAAACTTCAATTATTACTATTTGTGATTATGTGAAATTTATCTAATTAATATACTTGTATTAATTTTCTTGGTTAATAACTGACATTGCCAATTTATAGTTTAAATATGTTTGTTCATTTTCAATAAATAAATGCCGTTCGTTAACAATAAGGACATCAAAAATCTTTGCTTTACATTGTCCGTCGCAATAAATAGGAAATAATGTAGCCGATTTCATGAATTTTTCTCAATTCAGATAAGATAATTCAGATTTTATTAATTGCTCTATTTAAATAAGTAGATATTCAGAGAGAAAAAGTGTGAAAACCGACATGACGTTTTGGTTCCTGGATTCTAACTGCTAATTAAAAGTTTAAAATAAATATGTATATATCCACAATAGAGATATATTTATTCGAAATTGCGCTGTGTTAAAATGTATCATAGCATTGATAATATTGTATTAAACATTGAAATATTTTTGTGAACAAAAATTAACTACAAAACTGATATTTTTCCAAAAAACCAATATATTCACTGAAAATTATATATAAAAGAATGATAAATTTATGAAAAACGCAAATTTATTGAGTTTACAATAAAATTACATTTCCTTTTTATTTATAAGAATGAATATTTTTTAAGAAAATGTCTTGATTTTAAGTGATCTATATCGGTTTTGGCATCTTTTCTCTTCTGATTTTCTTTAAAATTAATTTTCGTTTTGCTGCACCAAAATCCATAAACGTGGATTTGTCAAAATATTCTCGTTTTTAAAGACTCGTTAACGAAGCAATTATCTTCAGTCGCGTCGCGGAACATATAATTTTTCTGTTACCTAAATTAGAATGAGTTTGCATCGATACACATGGTCAGATTCGCGTGAACAGCAGGAAGAGCTCCCCGAAAAAAAATCAGACAGATCAGAGCAACAATTCACAAGACGCGTCGAACTCAGCGCAAGATGATCTTTCTATTCAATTATCACAGACACACCCCCGATCTCGTCGCACAAGTCTCTTTTAATCGCGCATCATCTCGAGGAACGATTGTTCACGACGAGGTGAAACGTCAAACTCGCGTACGTGCGCGGGACACGCGTGATCTATAACTCGGTAATTTTTGTCCGTTGCAGCAATCGGATCGCTTTCGCAGGCAAGCGAGGTGGTTGCGTAAGGGTTGGAGAGGAGAGAGGGGGGAAGGGGGACAAAAGGGTTTCAACCGCGAGGATAATCATCCCCTCGGGTTCGCGACTGGGCGTACACGCGTCTATTCCTTGACACGAGAGCACGTGCGCGAGATGTCGACCAAGCGACGACGATTGGCTGACAGGCGGGGCCACGATTCTCACAGGGGTTGAACGAGCGCAACCCCTCAACCAAGGGTTGAGGAGCTTCCTCTACCTCTCCTTCACGGCGTCGCCAGACATCGCGCGAGCGGAGCGCGAAAGTCAACTCGCGTGATGCTCTCGCTGCCTCTCTCCGACTAATCGCGAAGAACCGCTGGGGTCGAACGGCGTTATCGAGCGCAAACCACTCGAGAAATATGAGAAAGAAAGAGAGAGAGAAATAGTAGAAATATTTATTTTATACTTTAAAGTTTAAAATCTTATTTCAACATTTAGTAATATATATATATATGGAAGAACAATTTTCGTAGAGAAAAAGAGAGAGAACAAGAAAGAAAAATGAAGGAATGAATTATATATATATATAT